CATTTGAAGCTATTTCTCTTTTCTTGCTGGATTTCCTTGAATCGCTGCTTTTTTTTACAAAATAGGTATAGCTTCCTTACAGCGTCTACTGTAAAGCGCAGTAGATTTAAATGTTATGGAGCAGATGGCCATGGTTACGTATGGTGGCAACATGAGTTCTGTTTGTCTTTCGTCTCTAATGATTTATTGTGGGAAGCCTCAGACGCCACAAAGAGATGTTGCAATACACAGTGAACCACATTGCAGACACTGGAAATGTGAGAAGAAAAGAGACTCTGTTAGCAGAAATGCACTTAAGCGTGTGTCTCCTTTTCTTCCTGCTGCACTCATCTATAGCACAGAAGCATTTCCAAGAAACTGGGAATCAGAAGTAAAAGTACTCTTCGTGAAAAACGGTTCCTCACGTTTTTCATGTAAACCCCGAACCATCACAGAAACTGGTTTTAAAAAATTACAGTATTTTCACTGTAATGGTATGGTTATATAGTCTCACAAAAGGAAATACATGAGGGATGTAGGGCAGACTTTTGGAGTAAAGTCTACTACGTTACTGTATAGCTCTGGTTCCCTGTGGTGTTGGGAACATCCTTCTCTTATGTCTGACAAGATATATAATGAAAACATTGGCAAAAATGTCATCCATATTTACAGTGAAAGGAACTCATCAACATTTTGGGAAGCACACATTTTCTTGGCTAGAGTTCGATGGAAAGCTCAACATAAAAAAAAAAACTTCCCGTTTAGCTTAGCTAAGCACAAAGATTGGAAACAGGAGAAACAGCTAGCCTGGCTCTGGCTGGAAGAAACCAGAATCCACCGACCGACATATCTAAAGGTCACTAATCAACACGTTATATCTCATTTGATTAATCTGTACAAAAGTGTTAAAGGAACAATTCACTTTAGAGGTGCTGGTAGGCAGGTTTTGTTACATTTGGACACAGCCAGCCTAATTGTTTCCCATGTTTCTAGACTTTGCAAGAAAGCTAACCGGTTGCTTTATGTTTATCAAAACAGGATGACAACGTGCTAGAAACAGACACAGACACAGAGTAAACAACAAAAACTACTAAAATAATTTGACAGCCAGTGAATTAGCAAAGTAGATCACAATAAACATTAAGAAGCATGTAAAAAATAAATCCAAACGGAGTAATTCAGCTTCACAAATCCGTACAGTTGTACATGAGTGTAATTCCAAGGTTCCATACAGTAATTACAGTATATCCCTGATTACATGATATATATGTGTACCATAAACTTTATCTTAATCCAGTCTTAGACCTGCTGTTGGGGGTGTGGGGGCAGAGTTAGTTTCCTGTGACAGTTTTTGAAGTAAGTTCCTGTTCTGTGGAACTTAAACAGAACTCCCCCATATAGATAACCACACACACACACACACACATACACAGACATACACACACACACACACACACACACACACACACAATATTCCACCTGTGTTTTTATTCAGTCAACCATTGATTAAATATTCTAATTTAAGTAAAAGGTTTTATCCAGAGATGTCATATGAAGAGCACATGACTTCTTTCACTATGTGATCTGTGTGAGTCATTACAGCAAACTTTTTTTCATTATTAAAAAGAACAAGGCTACCCAACCCTGTTTATATAGCCTTGTACTAATTTATCATGTAAGACTACTAGTGGTATCATTTTTATTTAAGGGTCCAGTGTGTAGCATTAAGGAGGAATTATTGGCAGAAATGGAATATAATATCTTTTTTATGACAGAAGTTTTATTGTAAACCCAGAGCAAAATATTCATTAACTGTGAAAGAAAAGGGATAAACATGATAAATAATAATACAGATATGAAATACACATTTACAGCATTTAGTTGTCTAGTGTTTACTAACTTACAGCATCAAAGTACAGGTGTTGAAAGCCAACATCACCACCCCAAGATGAGTTTAGCTTGGTAGCTTTACAGTACCTGCACGATGGTTACAACTTTCTGCCTCCAACGATCCAGGGTTGATTGATTATCAGCAGGTCAATATATTTCCCCCATTTAGTGTGAATAAAAATAGTTGTGTTTTCGTAACCTTGGAATGAGACGTTTTTATCAACAGAAAGATTCGGGTCCTCTTCCATGGAGTCCACCATGTCGAATTGCCATGTTTCTACAGTAGCCTAGAAAGGACAAACCAAACACTGGCACTGGATAGGGCCATTCGTGTTTTTCACGAGTTTTGTCGCCACTGTAGTTTTTCTTGCATGATTGGAAGGCGGGCAGTATTTGGTTGGTTGCAATTTGCAACTTCCCCGCTAGATGCCCCGAAATCCTACACACTGGTCTTTTAAGGGACCTTATATCAACGTACGTCATGCTTATGTATGTGGTTATATACGTTGTTTTACATTTACTTTGACATTTTTTGCTTTATTTATAATTCTTTTTATTCAACCTTTAAGAGATCCAAGCTTTCTTTCAGTTCGGTTTTCCCCTTATATTATGTACAGTATACTTGGCAGCATTTACGATGAGCATTAGACACTTTTTGTATTGGGGAACTGAAAATGTTTCTTGCGTTTTTGTTTGTTGTGTGTGTGTGTGTGTGTGTGTGTGTGTTTGTGTCTGTGTCTGCGTCACATACTGGTAAAGTTAAACACTATGTGATAATTTACCTTCTATAAATGTCATAAACACTAAATATCTAAATATCTTAAGAGCTATACTATACTACAGAAAAGAAAAAAACGAAAGAAACATTAAACACAGGAAACACGACACACACATAGACCCAAAACCAACATTTTCCAGTTACTACTATTACCGGCAGACCTTCATTGGCAAACTGGGACACTTAAAACAATACACAATGATAATATAAACAACAATTATAAATAATAATAACTTTTTTTTCTTCCCACCACCTTCCTCTCCCATGCCCACCCACAATGTTTTGTTTTGGGTTTAATTTATTTCATTTAAATTCAAAAAAGGAACCTCCATGAATATCTCTTTTTAAGTTGGAAAATGTCATTATGCTAACTATCTTTTTTCATTTTTATTTCAATACTAGCCTTCATTAGCTAGCTAGTGATCAACCCTGGAGCACAGCCAAAGTGTACAATATACAATGTGGCACCACAATTAGCATTAGGATTGCAAGCTAGCTCAATATAAGCAGTTTATTTTGTTAGCAGTAAATCTTGCTGAAAGGGACACATAAAAAGGGAACTCAATATCCCTGTTAGAATGAATTAAATGGCTGCCCACAGTTTGCTGGCAATACACTGTGAAAGTGTCAAAATCCCATTTAATTAATAATTAACGTGAATGTAATTCATCATTACATCCTATAATAAAATATATAACAAATACAAACTATCCATCAGTTTTAATAATGTTTATAACCTTTATAAACCTACCTCAGAACACTATGTTATTTTACTTCTATCAGTTTACTCCAAGGCTGTTGAATATGGTGTGCCACGCCACCAGAAGAGATGTCATAGCCACGAAACCAACATTTTTTTTATTACATGCTGGTTCAGGATGAGCTCAGCGTACATTTTTAGTAATGGAAATATAAGATAATGATGAAGTCATTACACTTTACATTCACCATATTTAATGCTAAAATCCAAACATGTTGAACACACTTCCCTGCCAAGATTGTCACTATGGAACCAGTTTGACGTGAGAGATGAAACTGATTTAATGACCAACTGTTTGAGACATATGAGAAGAAGAAGAAGAAGAAGAAGCAGAAGAAGAAGAAGAAGAAGAAGAAGAAGAAGAAGAAGGGATGTTACTGTCACATTGTGAATTATTTACTCATTTGTCTCCAGTTCGTCACTTCTCTTCCTGTCCTTACTCTGTTACTCATTAGGGAGATAGATCGGGGTTTGTCTGAGAGCTTCCCTGCCTTCGGTAGCCCAGATCCTTCTTTTGGTTTCATACAGTGTTTTAGTTTCATCATTCCTAAGACGGAGTAATAATCAGTATGTGTTCATAGTAAATGACAATCTCAGTAGTGGAGGAGTTCCCTCTAAAATACGTTGTTCTTGCTGTCATTGAAGTGACAAAAGAACAGAAGAAGAATTCCTTTTTCAGTTAATTCTTTGGTAATTCCTCATTGTCCTAGATTATATGAAATTGTGATGTCATATTTTTAATTTCTGCAGAAATTGTAGATTTGTGTGAAATTTAACATCTTCAATCCCACAGACAGTGTATTTTGTGCAGCCAAGCATTGTTCAAACCACAAGTTATTTCAAATTCTATTCAAGATCCTAAATATCTATCTATTATCAAGATTCTTAATGAATTGGACTAAATTATGGGAAAATGGGAAAGGGTAAAGTTTGCATAAGCCATCTAGAAGTTTCTATTTAATGTAAGGGTGCAGGCATTAAGACATTATTGTAGGGTTAAATGTTTCATCCATCAAGCGTGATATAAAGTCACTCAACCATTGAAACAAGCAGACTGAAAATATGCTGTATACACTGTGAAGAATTCGCTGTTTTACATTTTTGTTCCCTCCTGACATGGACCAATGGTTAGTATTTATTTGAGAAGGGTTTTTTTGATCAAGTTGCAGTGACTTGCAGGAGGTAGGTAATCCACCACTAACACCAGGTTTGCTTTCGTTGTTGTTAGAGTTATAGTATGTTATCTTTGTGTGGTTATGCAGTTACAATATATGTGCAGAGCCAAGTTCATAGTTCTACACATTGATTTTAATACTGTAAAGATAAATGAAATGGCTGCCTACGTAGCCCAAAGATCTAAAATATTGAAAATTCTTGACAGCAATTTAAGCCACAATGTAAGTTGCAGTTAATGAGCTAAAACATGGTCCTATTATCCTTATGGGGAACATTTAGAAGCCTAAACTGTGCCCATCAGCCCCAGATTTAGCAGTTACAGGAGTACAATACAATTTTGTGTTGGTCACTTTTGAAATAATTTAACAATCAACATAAAATAAAACAACAACATGATCATATAAAGACAAGCACGTGTGCAGTTCCACAAATTTTGTTTTACTGGGAGTGCAGTTTATAAAAAACATGAAAAAAAGGTCAAGTAAAACAGTCTGATAGTAAAACCTATCTGTAATATAATGCCACATTGCATATAAAATTTTCATCAAAACATATAAAGATTTTTTGTTTACTGTAAAAAATAATTAAAATAAATCTGACAATATATCCATTTGGTCTGTTTGTCTAAACAGTCGTCACATAAGGAAGCAACTCAACTACAAAAAAATAAGATTTGAGAACTAAATTGCTTAGAAATATCAAACTTTGTCAGACAATCCATTAAGCTTTGAGTCTTAAAAGAAATATATATAAGGAAAACGTGTGAAGGTACTTGACTTGTGCTCAAGTGTTACACACTCTTGAAATAATAAAGCAGAGGTTAGACACAGAGTTCACGTTAGCACTGTACATAAAGACATAAACATTACTGATATATAAAATATTAGGGACATCCTAATATTGAGCTGCAGCTTTAAAGTCTTACTGTAAGAGATTTACTCCTCCTTATCTTTATGTCTCCACTGTGATTGGTATAAATTTAAAAAGTCGAAACTAACTGTTATATGATCCCTAATATGTTGTACGTTCAGTCTGGTACAAGCCGAGAAGCTCCTCGCAAGTATGTCACTGCTCATAGTTCAGGCAGTGATGGGCATGTTGTCCCTGTAGCAGGCTGGCCTCTGGGGGCCGCTGTAGCTGCACAAGTCCTGGTAGATGCGGGCCATCTGGTCAGTAGCCCCACTGTCAGACATCTCCAGGGTTGGGTTGTTGCAGTAGGGCTGGGAGCGCCGCACGTTCACTGCGTCCAACAGGTGCTGGCAGTTCACCACACTGATCTGACATTAGGAGAGGACACAGAAAGGTGTTTTAATGTCAGCAAACAGTGATTAGTCTTTCTCTCTTGTAGGAAGGTATCAATACAGTAACTGTATTACAATATCAGTTAACTGTTTGAGTCGACTCACTGGTCTTACCTGCACAATGATCAGTTTGCTCTTGGCATTGCTGAGTTCATGGAGCTCTTCTCCAAAACACAGAGTCACTGTCGGATCAGGAGCAGGAAACTGACCCTCCTGGTATAGCTGTAGAGCTGAAACATACAAAGTATGTGAACAGCTGTTTAGACAATCATTGCAAGTTATCAGTCCTCCTTTTGCTTGCTTTAAGCATTGATACGAAATGTTTGTGTTTTTCATTAATTTTGACTCTTCATATAACTAAATAATCATGGAGGCTCACCTTGAAGAAACCTTCCTGTGTCAAAAATCTTGACTACAGCATCCCTATCAAGTTTACAAGGCATGGGGCTGTATTGTGAACCCATTTCTCCCTGCCCGCTCCAGAAGACACGGCTCTGGCACAGCCTTTTGATGAAGATTCCCTCTTGGTTGGCACGGACCAGTACACCTCTCTCTAGGTGACCCAGTAGCTTGCGCGTGACATGGCGCTGGCGGTCATACTCAATGAGCTCAGCAGGGGGGAAATGAACACTCTGCATGCTGTCTGAACTGTATAGGGCACCACGGCCCAGATGCTGTTGTGGGGAGATTCGGCAGCCTTCAGAATGATTAACCACTGTGCTGTGCATGAGCTTCCCTCCATAGTAGAAACTGATCATCATTTGGGAGAAAGCTGGAGAGGAGAACACTTATTAAGCTTTGCAAATGAAAAACAATAAGTGCCAATGTCACATAATGCATATTACTATTAATGCTTGACTATAGGTCTCAATGAATACCTGAGCTGAGAGTGCCTGATGGCAAAGGCTCCTGATGCAGTGGGAATGCTGTGAAATACAGGAAAACATGAGTTAAGGCCTTTTTTAAGACAGTGGACATGACCACACTGTCATGTCATAATTTTGCTTCATCATCAAAAATTCTCTTAGCACGATCTCACAAAGAAATAATCGCCTTAGTCAGCAAAGTTCAACAGGATGTTAGTCAATTCTTCCATTGCAGAATTCAACAGACAAGCAAATAACCTCTATCTAGCACCCACAATTGAAGGGATATGCCATTGAGCTTTCCATCGTGGTTACTTTCATAGGAATTAAAGCTCGTATCTCACAAAGATGAGGCAGCTTTACTCAAAAGGTGAGACAAAAAGGCAGAGAACGCCTGCACAGATGTAAAGCCACAACACTGACTAAACTGTGAAGAGCTTTTATTAAAATGAGTATGTGTTGTAAACTGGGTAGAAAAGGTCGTCTTACCATTGATGCTGCCCTGGGACCAGTACTCTGGACTGGCCTGGATACTACAGCCTTCCTCCTGCAAAAAAACAAAACAATTTAATAAGCTGTCAATGAAGGAAGAACCTTTGTACACTTTACAGTCATTAAGATCAAGTGGGAGTGTGGTGGAGGAGACAGCAAAGTAGTCATAAAAAAGCTGAGCGGCAGTAAAGGCAAAGTGCTTCTAAAACCGGGGGGGAGGGTCTCACCTCTTTAATGAGCTCCTCTAATTCAGCAGGGCTGCAGTCCATGTCAGTGATATCACCAGAGCTTGTGGTAGCTGTCAAGGCCATCACTGAGGTTTTGCCATCTGAGGGTGGAAGAAGAAGACATTATCAATTTGTTCATGGTACAAACATAGTGGTTTCTGACCAAACATGCATTGCACTTGAAATTCAAACCATAGTTTATACAGTTTTATGCATAATATCTGCTAAAGGTCATAATTTCTTCAATTGTTTAAATGTTTGCTAACAGACAATGATGAGAAATTTTTGGGGATTTCAAATGAAAATTGACACAGAATCTACAATAACACAAACTCACTTTTCTGCTCTTCCTCAGGTACAATACGGTAGACTTTATAGGGCTCAGAGATGTCCAACTGTGACCTTTCTGTCACCTCCTCAAAGTCAGGGCTTTTATTCAGAGCACAGCGGAGTCTGGTCTTCCATGTTGCAGGCTCAGCCTTGTCCCCTTCCTTGAACTTGCCTTTAAACACAGCCCAGGCCTGCAGAGGGAAATAACCCACATATTAAAGATGGTATTCTATTGGATTCAATTTGGACACTTCAAGAGGAAACATGAAACTGATCCACACTTGTAAAGAAAGAAAGAAAGAAAGAAAGAAAGAAAGTACATTAATATTAGAATTGTTGTGTGAAAATAACACTGAGGCTTGACTAGACTAGACTATAGCTTTAAAAATTAAAATAAATGTATCAAATTCCAAATTAAAAGTGTGTCATGCCAAAAATAAGTGACAACGGTGACATTTAAAAAGTCTAAATGATCATTTCCATTCGGTCACAAGAGAACCAGACTTGGAAAAGCGCTAGATAGATCCATCAAGATGTAGCCTATTTTCAGTTTTCAAGACTAATTTATCCGTGACTGAACCAGAGTGCTGTCAAACCTTGAAAATGGATGCGTCCACTTCTTGGTTGTAATCCTGTTTCCCTGCGTGTTTCCAAGGAATTCGGAACAAAGTGCGGCTTTCATCCTCCCACTGCAGTCCGGAGTACTGCCCGCTCTGGATCTGCTCCATCAGCCACTGCTTCAGTCTGCGACCTCCCGTGTTTGACATCTTGATGGCGTAAAGTTGTTAATGTCTTGTTCACTTGTACCTACATGAGGACGGATATAATTCATAATCGTAAATAAAATATGATTTAATTGTCTCTAAATTATTATCTATTATCTTTAATCAACGTAGACAATTCATTATATTTTACAACTTTCACCCTTCAGATTAGAAACCAACAGCACTTACAGTTTTGACCAGCAGTTGAGCTCTTGGCCCAGTGTGATATCCTGAGATGTTGATAGATGGCTCAAAAATAGTTAAGTGAGTTCTTAACTTCTCCCCGAAACATGTCTATCAAGTTTATTGTACGTATTATGAATGAAACAGCTAGAAGATGATTCGACAGCGCTGCCTCCCTCTGACCAATGAGTGCGTTGAAGTCTCAGTAAGGCCGGCCCATTCCGGAAGTGTTCTTCTTCTAACTGTGGGCATTTACAAGAAATGGCCTGACACAAGCGATGGTTGTCAAGTTGCTGCCCACGCTAAAAGCTACGCAGACGTGAAGCGCAAAATAAACCCGGAGAGTCACAAGTTACCTTGTGCTGTGGGGGATTTCTGCGCTCCAGAAGAAGGTGTTAAGTCCCCCCTACGCCCCCTCACCAATGCTGAGAAACCTCAAAGAGAAGTGGTGCAGGTACAGTAGTCTACTATGGTGGCGAAGAAGGTTGATTCTACCTGAACAAGTCCTCTGGGAGATATATCTTAGATTAATATGAAAATCATGTCAGATGAGAAGGTGGGAGGACAATTAGAAGAACTGTGTATGGTGAAATAACATCTGATGATAGGATTAAAAGGGGGATTCACAGTGGACTAAGTAATGACAAAGCCACATTATATTCGTCTTCACCATCTTCATGGTGATCTAATAAAACATCATGCTGCCAACTTGGTGAATCTATTGTTTTGAAAGAGCAAGTGCTGTCTATCCATCATAATGTCATAATATTCCTGGTCTTGGTCGATTAATCGATTACTCGATCAACAGAAAATTGGCAAACATTTGCTAAACAAATTCCTTTCATTTGGCTCCATTTACAGTAAGTCTGGTATTATGCTTTCTGTTTGTAAAGTCAATACCACCTCCAGGTCTGTCTGAACATGCTTCTACCTGACCTGAGTATGTAAATAAACATTCAAGGAAATTACAGAATTCAAAGCCAAAAACTGGAGATACACTTATAGTGGAGTTACTGAAATCCTCCCCTTCCATCCTCCCACAGAAATAAATTCCAGGGAAAGAAGTGACCATGTATTTCTTGGATTTTATGAAAGCAACTTCTTTATTGCTAATAAACCTAGAGGAAGCATTGCTGATCATGTTCAGAAGTCTTCACCATAGGGGGAAATTAAAACCACAGGACTGATTTTTAATCATGGTTATATTTAAAATGTGTAATAATGTGTTATGATTTCTTTCTTTAAAAACTGTTTCAGCTTAAGTTAAACAGTTTGATCTCCGTTTCTTGATTTAATTCTTCTTTTTTTTTATGTTTTATTGATGTTATGCTAATGTATAATTTGTCACATGTGTAATAACAATTACAATTCCTTATAATGTACAGCTTTCTTTGTTCTGATTTCCACTAACATAGTAAGACACAATCAGACCACTAAGCCACTAGAACACAAGACTTTTCCTCCTCAAAGGCGGCCACTAAAATGAACTAAAACTTAATACTTCAGATAATAAATCGGTTCTCATTTCATGACTTTCACAGACATACAACTTTCTGGTTATTTCTTGAAGCTGCTTGTGGTGTAAACCAGCACTACCAGGTGATCTGCTGAGTAAAACCCAGAAACCTCTCAAAACCTGAATATGAAATTTAAGAAAATATATTCTGGTGTTTAGTCAGTGCGGTTGTCAAGCTTCTTCATGAGACGAGCATTTGATCTAAAGGCGAGCCATGTACTTCAATGATAACCATACAGATTCATTTTCACTTTATATTAAGGTACACATATTCACCATTGACTAGTTGCATAGTAGTAGCACATTGACCCTTTATAAGTCATTATAAAACACAATAATGGCTTTTTCTGCATGACCTACTACTACTACTACAAAACAGTTTTCCCTCAATAAACTCCTAATTAATACCTATTGATAGTAAGTAGGGAAGTCGTTGGCCTCTTGAGGTGGTAGTACCACAATACTCATTCACTTCTACAAGTGTTAATGGTGTCCAAATAACTCTAAATGAAGTCTGAACTATACATTCCTTATTCTAAAATGAGGTCTTGTTTCTAACTAAGCTAGACCTTAAACATAAACAGTGATAATTTAGAAAATGTAATAGATTTCTATTCAAATGAAATACAACTTTACACTGAACAAAGAATATTAGCTATGAGCAAGACCTCACTTTAGAATGAGGGGGCATATTCTAAGAATATTCTAGAAAGACTTAGTTTAGAGTTATTTGGACAATATTAACTATTGTGTTATGTTACATAAGACCATATTTATAAGTGTTATTACAGGAGAACAAGTATTCGTGTGGTGCTATCACCTTATTTAATTCAATTCAGTTTCATTTCTATAGTGCCAAATCATAAAAAAAGTTATAATTTTTCTAATAGAGCAGGTCTAAACCGTACGTTATTTACAGAGACCAAGCAATTCATCATATGGCTTATAAGGCCCATACTGTGGAAATCCTATTAAGATCATAACTCATGTACAACAGTGTCCTTACTTACTATCAATGAGCAGTAATTCGGAGGTTGTTGAGGGCCAACTCTTAGGTAATGGCCTAGTATCTGTAGACTATGGTCATGCAGAATAAGGCAATAATAAGTGTTTTATAAAGACTAATAAAGAGCTAATATGCTACTAATGTGCATGCTAATAAGCAACTAGTTAATGGTGAATACGTGTACCTTAATATAAAGTGTTACCAATTTTCTCTGCCCACAATTTATTTTACTTACACACAGACAAATACCATGGTGTTGATAGGACATATTTATTAGTATTTCCATTTTTTTTTTGTCAATCACTGCATTTTATTATAAAACACAAAGAAAAAACACCATAAATACGCAATTAAAACAGTTAACTGTACCCATGGATTTATCACACAAATTACCTAAAAATCAGCTTTGTCACAATAAAAAGATAAATCTGCTTCAGTAAAATCAGGAAGACTTAAGCATTTGGCCTGCAGAGATCCTTCATGTGTAGTTATAGGTTTACTCAGCCATATTTTATGTATCTTAAAAGGTATTACTTAAAGGAACATTTTGCTATTTTAAAACTTACTCCATATGTTACTACTAGTTGCGTGTCTTTAAATGGCCGCAGTATGAATCAGTGTTCTTTACAACTCTGTAGCCAAGTGAAGCCGCCTACTTTACCAAGAGATCCCATCACTAGCTTATCTCACGTAGGTTGATAATGGATTTACTACAGATGGTTTGACTGTTGTGCTTTATTTCTTGTGTGCTTTCCGCCTGATAAGTAAAAACAGTTTTGTTGGCTGGGAACTGCGTGCAGCTTTTGTACCCCAGCTACCCACCACTGTTACCTGAAAACAAGGTTCTATGTGGATTGTTGTTGCAGACATTGGTACACATAGTGTGCAGACGGCTTGAAATTTTACTCAAAGACGAATCAAAATGAAACCAACTATCAAGAAGTACCAACTGGAGTGAAAGAACAGTATTCAACTGGGTGTGAACAAATTCTGTTTACTCAATGGGCAGTGATGTGCAACAGTGATGTATGTATTGTAGTTATAACATCCCCAAGTGGCTAGCATATCTGCTAATGACAGTATGACCATTGTTTTGGTGTTGTGTACTATGAAACATGAAATGTCAATAGCGCTTACACATTTGACAGGTAAGCGGTGGTACTTGTTTTCCATAGGTTGTACATAATAACAGCCCACCAAGCATGCCATCTTCCCCAGCTGCATTATTGATTAAAGAGTTTACCAATAAGAGTCTGGACGGGACTGTAAACCAGTGCATGTCAGAATAAGTTGGCTGAATAATTGGCATCAAATTGGTGGCAGATTTGTCAATTTCATTGCCCATCAGCACAGACTAGACATCCACATAATTTGAGACAAAATGTTCCTTTAAGACGGCATTAATTAGTCGCGTCTTTAAGGCTACCGAGCTGAACATTGCAGGTGTAAAGACTTCACATGGAAGTGTAGTTTATTCATCATGGCTAAGGTGCTGAGGTGTTTAGAGTAAGGCGTCTGTGAGCACCGATACCCCTGTTGTGGCTGTATTCAGGAAGGGAACACGCTCAGTACTGATATTGAAGAAGAGTCTGTAGCCCAATTCTAAATCAACCTCCATTGCTTAAAAATTACAAGACAGATACAAATAAAAGTATGAAACATATACTTTAAGGGGGCCTTTATTTAATCCTATGCTTTTATAGTTGTACAAAGGCCTTAAATTCAGCTTGGGGTTGATTTGGAATTGAGTACAGATAATAACAACTGCCATTTACAGACAGCATTAGGCAGGACTTTGGCATGACCAGAGGTGTTTCAGCTGCTGCCTTCAGGATCATCAGGGCCGGGCGGCAGAGCACAGACACCTTGGTTTATCCAGCGCTGGTCTGCTCCTCTCCTCTGGCTCTCCCGTTGCTCTGTGTACTGGCTCAGCAGGGCACTCACCTGCTCCTGGTCATTTAACGGGCTGGGACGGAAACTGGACCGTAACCAAGCTCGGTACTGGGGACAAGAGAACAGATTAAAAACCTAACTCAGTCATTGTGTTAAGATCAAATTTCATTACATTGTTTACTAGTTTACTGACTACAGTTTCTGCATGTATATCTTGGGTCTGATAGGAAAATAAAATGTTCTTCTCACCAGCTATAAATCTACACACACACACACACATATACACACACTCATTTTCTTTGATTCAGATCTTTCTTTTTTATAAAGACGCCTGCTTTTCTTAGCATCAAGAACCAAAGATGATATCATAGTTGGAACTGAACTTGATTAAGTGAGCCCAATATAAAATGTATGTCATTAAAATTATAATCCATGTATTCAGTAACTTCTCAGTAAGAGGTTGAGGACTGAATGGGCACTTGGGAGACAGAAAGAGGGGGTGGGACAGAAAGTCTATGAAACACTTCTCAGGAACAGCCACCTCTCCCTAGACATTCCTGCTTACAGTAACCGGAGAGTCAGGAATTCCCCTTTACTCCTTTAAAAACTATTTTGGTTAAAAAGAAAAGAAAAGTTACAATTTTCCGTGTTCAATGGAACATCAGATTTGAATATGTACATTAACATAGCCTAAATCCAGTTGGTTGCCAGCTGTCCCTCGTGACAAAATAATCTG